AAGTGGGTTCTGGGGAGAAAATGACAGAGGAAGCATAGTGAACGGCATTGAGATGAGAGGAAACGGAGGTGAACTTAGTGAGGACTAAAGAGTTAGCATGGAGACCAACTTTGACAAGTTGGGCGTGAAATTGAGTGAGTTTTGGCAGAGAGTTGCAAAGTTGGAGAAGAGAGAGGCAATTCTGTTCTGCTGCTCTCTCGCCAGTGGTGAAAATTGATGAGTGTAGGAACCGGAGAAGCTTTGCTGAGTGTCGCATTACTTCGTTGTTTCAGCCTTTTCAAAACTTCTCGACTCATACCCACTTATTTCCGTCAGTTTTTGGCTTAGCCAAGCATGTTTGAAGCTTTTAAAAGTTGCTTTTATCTAACTATTTTCTCCAAGTACAACGACCCCGACCCCGGTCATGTGCCCGAGCCATTAGGTAAATATATTATCCGTCTTGTAAGTCTCTATCCATGTTACCTTTCACGGTTTTATGTCGCGTCCCAGGATTCGAACTCAAAACATCTGTTTTATAAGATATTTAAGTTGAATCATTGTGTCAATTAGTACGTATGACTAATGACTTAGGCCCAGGTCCAGGTTGTTATAAGAAAAGAGCATTTTATTGTGCCTTATTTTGGTCATTTTTGTCATATGCATAATGCAGAATTTTTTTCTCAAGGGACCATTCTTTATGCAGGTTGATTGAGATTATGACTTGATACTGTTCGTTATCTTCATTCTTGCATAAAGGTCCAAAGATTGCTAATGCTAAAACCATTCTGCAGGTATTTAATCTCGTGTATCCCTTCTCTAGTTCTGTTCCTATCTCGACATAACGAAACCTGTTGTGAAGTTGTAAAGGCGCGATACAGAAGTGCATAAATGAAGTCCAGTTACTTTTAGAGTATAAATTGCTGGTTTATCCATTTTTCTTCTCCTAGCAGTAGTTGTTGTCGCGAATAGGATCCAGCCTGTTTAATCTCCTTGACTGAACCACAGACTTGTTTGTAGTTTTGTATGGTTGAATACTAAAAGTTGGATACATTCTTTTAAAAAAATAAAAAAGTAATTGTTGGAAAAATATGGCTAATGGGGCGATTTTGGCATAATTTTGAGTGGGACAAGATCGAAGTTGATTCATGTTCTCCACTATGAGAAAATCGAAATCATATATTTACTTGCCAAAAATGATAATCGGGTGAATGAAAAATTGAAATTCAAAGTTGATGACTTGAAAAGAGTTTACAAAAGCAGTTTCATACATATGAAACACGAAAGTTTAAATGTTTTATATGTATGAAATATGGTGCTTGGAGGGAAAACTATATGTAGTTTGTCTCACGTAGGGAGATTATAAAAGTAATGACCACCTTATAT